GTCTGGCCTGCAGGTGTGTTTGGCTCACACATTTAAAATTTGAATTAGCTGCCAACTGTTCAAAGTCAGGAGCATGGTTACCTCTGGGTTCTCTTGGAAAAACAGGTCTGGAGACAATGGAGAGACAGATATGGACACTCCCATTTCCCCCAGGGGCCTCCACTCCCTATTACAGCTCAGTCTGGCTGATACTGAGCTGTGATGCCTTCCTTGTTCCCCACCTGACTTCCTGGCCACCTTCAATCACCTCCCCTACAGGTGGAAGATTCTAAGCATCTGTGATCTTTGCAGGGAAGAGAAACATTTACTAAACACCTACACTGACCTACCAGATACTGTTTCCACACACCCACTGTCACTTTTTTTTTTTTTTTTTTTTTTAAAGACAGGGTCTCACTGTTACCCAGGCTGGAGTGCAGTGGCGCGATCTCGGTTCACTGCAACCTCCACCTCTCAGGTTCAAGCAATTCTCCTGCCTCAGCCTCCTAAGTAGCTGGGATTACAGGAACCTGCCACCACGCCCAGCTAATTTTTTTTTTGTGTATTTTTAGTAGAAACTGGGTTTCACCATGTTGGCCAAACTGGTTTCAAACTCCTGACCTCAAGTGATCCTCTCGGCCTCCCAAATTGCCAAAGTACTGGGATTACAGGCGTGAGCCACCCCAATGGCCTTTTTTTTTTTTGAAACAAAGTTTTGCTCGTCACCCAGGCTGAAGGGTGTAACGGTGCGATCTTGGCCTCCTGCAACCTCCACCTCCTGGGTTCAAGCACTAAATCAATGTCTTTTTGAGGTCCCAGCCTGCACACGTCAAGGACCAGCAATAAGAAGCGTCCCCCAACAGCCTCCTCACTCAGGGACAGCCCCAGCAGGAAGCAGGTCTGAAGCAGGCACTCTCCTGCCCCACCCCCAGGGTGCTTCCCCTCTCCTGTGGTCAGGCTCCCACCTTGATCTTCTGTTGATAGATGCTGTCATCTTCAGCATACTCTTTGTACAGGACCGAGAGCTCCAGCCGCTCTGACACCAGAGGGTTCTGCACCGCAATCTGGAAGAGGCGGGGATCTATCAAGCTCTGGCGGGGAGATGGAGTGCCCCAGGCCTAATAGCCAGAACGCCCACAAAAGGGCTGGGCTGCTCACCCGGTGGTGCAGCGACCCCCAGAAAAACAGCCAGTACCTAGCACAGCCTGGGGAGGAGGGAGCGTCCGAAGTAGAGACAGACAACAGACCTCAGGCTCTGCCTATGCATTGCCACAACGGGGCTGCTGGCCACTGCCTCCCTCGCCCGCTGCAGCGCCTCACCTCTTGCTGAATTCGGTCCTGCTGAGCCATGATGGCTTCATCATAGGCCAGACAGTTAACACCTGAGAAAAGGAAAAAAGCAACGATTACAGGTGTCCTGGCCATCTCCACAGCAGGCAGCTGGGCCAGGCACAAGAGCAGCCCAGGGGCAGGACAACAAGCTTAGAATCTGGAAGCAAGCATGTTACATTCTGCTCCACCTCAACTGTGTCAACTTGGCAAAGTCCCTTCCCCATCTGGGCTTTCATTTCCTCATCTTTAAAAAGAAGGGGCAGAGGTGCACCGTGGTACCCCTAAGGTGCGCTCTTCCAGCTCTGACACCTGCTTCCTCGGGTTAACATCACTTCCCAGCAGCCTGGGAATGTTCTGGGGCCAGGCGGGGTCTCCTGGGGAAAGTAAGATGAGGAGGCAGAGTCCTGGGCTGGAGGAGAGCTTCCCGTGGGCCTGCACTTCACTCCATCACCCCCGCATCCTCTTGCCGTCCTGGATGTTGTTAATGGTGCCCATTTTACAATAAACAAAACAAATGCAAAGAAAGCAATCTGCCCAAGGTCATAACTAGCAAAGACCTGTGGTCAAACCCAGGTTTGTCTAATTCCAGGCTGAGCTCTTCAGCACAATACCTCTCCTTGGCTACCTCACAGCAGAGACTGTAAAATGGGGTGAATACCCCCGTCTTTCTTAGCGGAATACCAGTATGTGCTTTAGGATCATCAGCCAGCTGGGCAGGTCCACCCTGAGTTGAGGAGCCAGGAGACCTGAATTTTAGTCCTGACTCTCTCTTAATGTGATCTTGAACAAGTCCCTTCTGGGCCCGTTTCCCCACTTCTCATTCCCTCGAAGTGTTCGGTGAGAATGAGGTGCGTGTACTGAATGACTTTTAAGGTCAACCCTTTGGGGCTCGCCATCCCAGATTCTCGGCTGGGCGTCGACGTGCCCTTTTCGCACTACTCAGCGAAAGAGGTGTCCCTGCCACCCAAGTGACCTACGTGGTCCCCAGGGCCCAACTCATAGGCGGGAAAAGACAGAGTGGGGTCATTTTTGAAAGGCCCATCTTCTCAGGAGACTAACAATGCCTAGGTAGGCGGAAAGGGGCTGCGAGGCCAGAAAAGGAGGCTTACCAGAAAAAGTCGCAGGACTCAGGGACAGACCCCGCAGCCCCCTCACATCCCAGGGCCGCCTGCGACATCCCGAACGGCACGCCCGGACCTTTGTGCTTCGGAACCCAGCGAAACCCGAGGCCCTCACGGCGCGGGCCGCGGTGGAGCAGCCAAGGGGGCTCAGCCCTGACCTAGGCCTCAGCCTGACTGCAAGGACCGGGGCGGGAGGGCTCAGCGCCCCTGAAGCCGGGAGCCGAGGGGCCGGGCGGAGGGCGGGGCGACCCAGGCCCCGCCCCGGGCGCGCACGCTATAGAAGGGCATCGGGCCTCGGCCCGCCTCGCCCGTCCTCCCTCCCGGCCGGGGGTCGCGGCGGTGGCTCCTGCCATTGTGAGGGGGAGGGGAGGCAGCGGAGGTGGAGGAAGGGACCCCCGCACACTTCGACCCCACCGCCGGAGGCCCTGCCTCTCCTCTCTCATCGGGAGCAGCTGGCCCGGCATCGCCCCTACTAGCCCGGGCCGGGCATCCCTCCTTGGATCTGTACCTTCAGAGTCGCTGCCCAGCGGCTCCTGCTTCTGCTGCTGAGGTTCCTCCGCCGCCATCTTTAAACAGCGCCGCACTGCCGACCGCTTCCGGGTTGCCAATCTCCCTCCTCCAGGAAGTGAGCCCCTCCTCGTGGCCCCGCCTTGGCAACGGCCCTAGCAACGGGGTCCCCTTAGGCGTTGTCAACGAAAGGACTCCCAGTCAAGTGGCAGCTGCTGCCACGCCAGTCCCGCGGACCTGAGACCCCTGGAGGAGGTCAGCCGCCCCCGGTCCGCACCTCCACCCCACACACTGGTTTGGCTCCATCTTCTCAGCCTCCCGAGGTTCCCGGTGGTGATTTCAGAGCCTCCTGGAGCCAATTCCATTTTCTTTTCAATGGAGTCTGAAACGCGGATTGTGTTATTGAAAGAAATAGAAAGGTGAAATTAAAATCACCGAAGGCAGCATTCCTGCTGCGGGCTTCCGCACGCACTGCATGCGACCGTAGCTGCAGTGCAGAGCAGCATCTGGCCCAGGAGACAGGAAGTCGGCCAGCGCCGGGGCGCTGGCAGAGCCCCACATCGGGGCCCCACCGAGCCTGCGTTCTCCGCAGGCTTTGGTGAGCTGCTTCCGGCAGGGAGAATGTGTCCTTTGGTGCCAAGCCAAAGCCTCAGGACCTAAGTTTGAGCTCTGTGTCCTTCTGGTTGTGACAAAGCAGGGCCTTTAAAAAAAGAAGAAAGGGTCTTGCTATGTTGCCCAGGGTAGTCTCGAACTCCTGGACACAAGCGATCTTCTGGCCCTGCCTGAAGAGTAGCTGAGACTCCAGCCGCCAGCCACCACGCCCAGCAAAAGCAGGGTCTTTAAAAAGCAAAGACTTAGCAAAAAAGGAAAATAAAGGTTACAGGAGTTAAGCAGAGGTGCTGGAGGGAAGTGGGTGTGGCTGTGAAAGGAAAAGTCTGGATTCTTGTGAAGGTGGAAATGTGCAATACCCTAACTGTATCAACATCCTGGTGTACGCCTTACTACAGTTTTGCAAGATATTGGCGTGGGCAGGGGAGACTGAGTAAGGGATACATGGAATCTTGATAATTTCTTTTAAGTTGCCTGTGAATTATCTAAAAATTAGGCCGGGCACGGTGGCTCATGCCTGTAATCCCAGCATTTTGGGAGGCCGAGGCGGGTGGATCATGAGGTCAACAGATCGAGACCATCCTGGTCAACATGGTGAAACCCCGTCTCTACTAAAAATACAAAAA